TATGGGGAGACAATAGGGGGGGGGGGGGGGGGGGGGAAGGACCAACAAATGAGCCGATACACCAATCTGTGTCCACGGCAGGAAAACTGATCGCAGCAACGTTCCAAGAGCTACTGGCTACCCTATCAAACATGGCGTCTCCCTTTAAATAGGTCACCCATGGAGACTCGCCCCCCTTCACTTCTCCTGGTGACCATGGTCCTTGGACCAGAAAGTGATGGATCCCAAATTGACTTCTAATGGGGACACCTGTTCCGACGACAGCAGGAGATTCACTCTGACTTCCTGTTATGTCTTCGGAACAGGAAGTGAAGGGACATTTCCCCCCCAATGGGACCTGCCTGTGGTTCTTTAACTCTTTGGCCTCAAACTTCGCCAATCTTCCATAAATAGACGCGGGCGAGGCCTTCCTTGTGATAGGGAAAGGGATATCCACCTTTCCAAACAAGACTCCACCCCAAGATTAGGCAATGGCACTTTATAATCAGGATTTAGGGGCGGGTCTCCTCCCCTGTGTCCGCACACACACACTCAGCGGGGTGTGAACTGGGCCCCATCGCGCCCGTCCATGGCAAACACTGCCAAACCCAAAGAACATACAGAGGAACTGATTGCCCAACCGGTGCCAACGCGCAGGGGACGACACGCCCACTCCATTGTCCCGAGGTGACCGGCCAGGTGATTAATAGCCTGAAGTATCCCATTGTCTCCATTGTTCGCGGGAATCTTTTGTACGTTTCGTTTTGGTTTTTTTAGGCATGTGAATGCCACCGGCTTAAATCATCTCATGAGGGGTCTAAAAGAGGACCTGTCATCTGATATATATATGTCCATGCTAAGTAATGTGTCGGTGTAACCCTTCCAGGTATTTGTATGGTTAAAAAAAACCTGCAGGTGTACTTTCCCTTTAAGGGGACACTAAAAGGGGAACACCCTGCCAAAGTAAACAAACAGTCACTTAATGATAGGCATACTTTTTTTTTTTCTTCACCGAATTCCTCAAATGATTTCCTACTTTGCTGCATGTAATGACCTGCGTCCCTTCCCTAGATATACAATGCCCATTGTATGCATCCCATTAGGCCTACTTAGGGGGCGGGGCCCGGACACAAAAAATGAACCGCCTTTAGGATAGAGCGGCCTCTCGTACTGATGAGGGCGACGCGGAATTTTGGTAGGAAGCTCTTATCTTTGATGCTCTTCTGGCGCTCCATCTTCTTCTGGAGGGCTGGACTAAAACCGTATGTAGATACTGACTTCTTGAAAGTCCGTATTTTGCATAGGGCAAGACACGCCTTCTTATCTCCCATGTGACCAGAGTTTGGGTGTGGCTGTTAGGCGCTCAGGGCAAGACACGCCTTCTCATCTCCCATGTGACCAGAGTGAGGTTGTGGCCATTAGATGCTCAAGGCAAGACACACCTTCTCATCTCACATGTGACCAGAGTTTGGATGTGGCTCAAGGCAAGACATGCCTTCTCATATCCCATGTGACCAGTTTTGGGTGTGGCTATTAGGTGCTCAAGGCAAGACACGCCTTCTTTCCCATGTGACCAGAGTTTGGCTAGTTGGTTCTCAGAGCAAGACACGCCTCCTCATTTCCCATGTGACCAGAGTTTGGGTGTGGCTTTTAGGTTCTCGGGGCAAGACACACCTTCTCTCCCATGTGACTAGTTTGGGTGTGGCTAGTAGACATTTAAGGCAAGACGCACCTTTTCATTTGCCATGTGACCAGAGTTTGGGTGTGGCTAGTAGGCGCTCAGGGCAAGACACGCCTTCTCCTCTCCCATGTGACCAGAGTTTGGGTGTGGCTAGTAGGCACTCAATCACAGCCTTTTGTCTCCTTACCTGATGTTTTTCTCAGAGTTCCACTTGACAATGACTCGTCTTTGCCACGCGCAGACTTCATGTAATGGAGGAGATTAAACAGGAAGTGGTGAGCCAGCTGAAAAGGATGTAGACTCTATACAGACGGTGACCCCCATCACTCTGTGAACTCTGACAGTATAAATAAGGCAATTTAGTATTGGATAGAGCCGCGTTTTTCCAGACGTCTTTCTAGGATGTGCGTCCCCAATGGGGAGATTTCCCTTAACTTCCTGTTCCGGTGACACAACAGGAAGTGAGAAAATCCCTTAGCTGTCACCAGAACAGGTGCTCCCACTGGAAAAATCTAAATTTCTCTTCCTGTTCTGGTGACAACGGTAACATTTACTAGAGTTGTAGAGCGATGGCCCTTTACCATTCCTCTCTCCTAATGCATGCTCCGCGTCAGGTGGAACTTTGATACGTCAGCCCCTTATTGTGCAATCACTCTTATCTCAGCGTTTGTTAAGCAGGGTGCCGACTCTACTGCCTGATCTACAAATGACATGTTTGAGGCTGAATCTGGAGCGGCGAGGAAGAATGGGGCAGTGTCCCCGGCGTCACAATGTCACTCCCTGTTCCCTCGGGCCGCATAGGTCGGGGAGTGTCCCCTCTGCAGCTGTGCTAACACAATAAACATCACGCAGTACGCGCGCCCGTCACCCCCTCCCCGCCCCCGGGGCTGTGTTCGGAAAAACGTCTTTTGTTTGTGGGACGGAGAAACATCTGCTGAACAATCTATACATTGTGTGCTCGCTGCTCCCTCCGAGGACCAATCACAATGCTGGAAGGTTTCCGCAGATGTCAACAGAAGCTAGGGTGACAACGGCTCTTGTTCAGACACTTCTGTTATAGGGTGACAATGTTGTTCTTCTTCAGGCACTTCCTGTTATAGGGTGAGCGCTCTGTCCTTGCTCAGGCACTTCCTGTTATAGGGTGACAATGCTCTGTCCTTGCTCAGACACTTCCTGTTATAGGGTGACAATGCTCTGTCCTTGTTCAGGCACTTCCTGTTGTAGGGTGACAATGCTCTGTCCCTGTTCAGACACTTCCTGTTACAGGGTGACAATGCTCTGTCCTTGCTCAGGCACTTCCTGTTATAGCGTGACAATACTCTGTCCCTGTTCAGACACTTCCTGTTATAGGGTGACAATGCTCTGTCCTTGTTCAGACACTTCCTTTTATAGGGTGACAACGCTCTATCCTTGTCTCACAATTGTGCTCCTATGTTGTCACCATGTCACAGAAGCTTCCGATGGAGCAGCCAGATCATTGCACATTACCCTGGCATGGTTCACTGTTTTCACCATCAGGAAACCCACCCCGAGCAATGCCACGCAGCCATTGCCGGAGTGCATGTAGACAGGAAGTGGCTGCCAAGAGGCCGCAGGAGATCAGCAGCCCCAGGAAATGCCATGCAGCCATTGCTGGGGTGCATGTAGACAGGAAGTGGTTGCCAAGAGGCCGCAGCAGATCAGCAGCAAAGGATGAAAGTCGGAACTAGTATCTCGCATAGAAGGGTGTTATGGGAACTCCCACTGTGTGACCGAGGGGTTAAATGTATCAGAGGCGTGGCCTTGCGGGGCGCCCATCCAGCAGGCCCGGTGTGTAGCGCCTGAGAATACCCACTTCCTCTCAATGCAAACAGGACGTGGCAAGGAAGTCCCTGTGGGCGCCGGGTTTCCGGGTCCCTCAGAGTTGAAGCTGCAGCAGGTGAAGAGGTCATTAGATGGCGGCTTGTAGATAATGATGAGTCGGGAAGGACAATATGAAAGCGGATTGTTGTGATTTAAAGGGGAACCATCATATTGAGATACATTGTTGTGGTTTAAAGGGAACCATCATATTGAGATACATATGAGAGATACTGTTGTGATTTAGAGGGGAACCATCATATTGAGATACATTGTTGTGATTTAAAGGGGAACCACCATATTGAGAGACATATGAGAGATACATTTCTGTTATTTAAAGGGGAACCATCATATTGAGAGACATATGAGAGATACATTTCTGTTATTTAAAGGGGAACTATCATATTGAGAGACATATGAGATACATTTCTGTTTTATTTAAAGGGGAACCATCATATTGAGATACATTGTTGTGATTTAAAGGTGAACTATCCCATTGAGATACATATGAGAGATACTGTTGTGATTTAGAGGGGAACCATCAAATTGAGATACATTGTTGTCATTTAAAGGGGAACCACCATATTGAGATACATTGTTGTGATTTAGAGGGAACCATCATATTGAGATACACTGTTGTGATTTAGAGGGGAACCATCATATTGAGATACATTGTTGTGATTTAAAGGGGAACCACCATATTGAGAGACATATGAGAGATACATTTCTGTTTTATTTAAAGGGGAACCATCATATTGAGATACATTGTTGCGATTTAAAGGGGAACCATCACATTGAGATACACCTGAAAGAGATCCTTGTATTGTAAATTGTTCTATCAATGTTTCTTAATGCCTTGTATCCATTTACAGTGTGCAATTATATATGTACACGGGGGCAGCCATATTTGTTCATTACAGCTCTGCTTCTTGCATAGCAGTGCTGCACAATGGCTGCGCCACGCTGGTCCTCTTGTCTCACTGCATGTCAACCAGACAGGGTCTGTCTAATTGAAAACAATGGACTCTTTGCAGTCTGTAACCCGAAGCCAGGGACCGTGTCATGTGGTCACGTGAGGGGCTCAAAGGCAATTTTTTTACAGTTCTTTTAACCCAAAATAAGGAGGACCTTTCCCCCAG